ATAAATTAGCTCAAACAAAACCCAAGCTAATTAAATATTGCTTCTTTCTTTTTAACCAATAAATGAACCCTCTTTCCTCCATCATGGTTGTTGTTTGGTCATTTCATTCATGTTCAACACTTAGTAAACCTGTTAGGGCTTTTCTTGGCAAAGATACTGGAATAGTTTGCTGTTTCCTTCTCCAGATCATTGTACAGATGAGGAAACTTAGATAAACAAGGTTAAGTGAATTGCTCAGGGTCACACAACTACTAAGTTACTAAGGCCATATTTGAACTCATTAAAGATGAGTCTTCCTGATTCCAAGCCCAGTGCTCTATCCACTATGCCACCTAGCTTGCCCTTCTCCATCACAGTTACTCTTTTTATTATGTAATTAATTTTGTAATTAAAGAATATACACCATGGACAAATGAAAGCAATCATAAAACAAAAGTATAAACTGTTTTGGATATGACACATACCCAGAGTGACCTCAAGCCCTCAATGTAATAATACATAACTCTTCTTCACTTGGCTGAAAAGCATCTCATACCACTCAATGCAGTGCAGAATCTGATGAATATCTCTTTAGAATTCTCTTCATGTTTTCATCCAGATAAGACTTTCTTCAAGCTCTCAGGAAACAAACTAGATGTTTAACTTTGTTCTTTTTTAAAAGATCTCATAAAACTCCCCCATCCCATCTCAGCTTCTCATAAAGACTTCACAGAGTTTTCTTTAAAATATACCACACACTTCTGAAAGGGAAGAAATTTCACATCACTCTCTCTCTTCTCCATAGATCCACACACCTCACAGATAGAACACATTTTCTCCCTGATTCCACAAGAAGATACATTGCAAAATAAGATATTTCTCAGATTTATTCCAACTGATAACCATATAAAATGCTTTTCTCAAAATTCCATTGGGCTCTTAATGACAATGATTTCAGGTGTTCAGTCTGGCAATCACAAAGGACATGGCTATTGGGCAAATCCCTTCTCTGGGTTTCAAGTTTCCTCCTATAAATCAATGAGGATCAGACTATTTACCTCTGCAGTGTTTTTCAGCTCTATGGCCTATGACTTTTGATGATTTAGGAGAGAGTGACATTCAAGGATGTGGCTGTGACTTCACCCAGGAGGAGCAGAGCCTCTTGGACCATCCTCAGAAGACGTTGTACAAGGGGGTCATGCTGGAGAATGCCTGGAACCTACTATCCCTGGGTAAGGACACTTCCCCTGGTAACTCTGAGTCTGCAAGCAAAGGGGACATCTTCATTCCCTAGTGTGCAGGGTTTGGAGGATCTATCAATTATTAGAGAGAGAAAATATTAAGTCTCCTGTGTCCAAGAGACAGACCCCTCATGCTGCCTAGTTTTCCTAGAAGAAATCTTTGCATTCTGTGATAGGAACCAGAGAGTTTCCTTTGTTGCACCTGATGCTGTCTCTTAACCAATTCTAGGTGGTGTCAGGTCGGAGATCCAATTGGTGTGGAAGAATCTCAGATTTGCAACTAATCTCAGGGAGTTATTTGGTCTAACCTCTAGCTGGACGTGAATTTTGTCTGCCAAATCTCTGAGAACTGCTCAGGCAGCTTTTCCTTGCAACCCCTTCCTCTTTGGGATGGGCCTAGTATTTGGAATAGTCTTCTATTTAACAAGCAGACATTGGTAGCTCATAGCTCTTACTTGTAGCCAGTGCAGCACATTTGTCCTTCATCTTCCTTCCTATTACCCCAAAATTCCCACAAAGATGGTGGGACAGGAAGTGAAGGGAATAGGCATTTATATTCACCAGCTATTTGCCATGTGCCGGGAAAAGTGATTTCTTTACACTATTATGTTACTTTATCTTCACAATAACCTTCGAAGTTGGGTGATATTATCCCCAATTTACAGTTGGAAAACTGAGACAAACAGCTGTTAAGTGACTTGTCCAGAGGTACCCAGCTGGTAACTGAGACAGGATTTAACCTCAGGCAACCCTGACTCCAGGTCCAGGGCTCTCTCTACTGCACCATCAGCTGCCTCTGATTTCTAGACAATGGAAACTACACAATGAGTCTATCCTTCTATGAAGAAGGTGCACAAGATCAAATTCTCTGACTCCAAACAGGTTCCATGATTTTTCCCCCACCTCTCATCCAAAGGGGCAAACACTTCCTGAATGAACAGTACACAAGGTTTCTATAGGTCTCAGGAAGTGAAGAGCCAGTACAGGAGGACAGGGCAAAGGGTGATTCATCAAGGTCCCTGGAGCTGGGGCACAATTACCCTTTTACCCAGTTTGGGCATGAGGAGTTTCTGCCAGAACGGAGCATAACAGGATGGGGGGCAGAGGGTTTGGCTGTTTCTCAGAACAGGTTGTACAACACATCCCATTTTGGGTTACTTGCAACACAAACTCTGATGGGTCAGTATGTGTGACCAGAATGGAGTGATTCTCAAAGTGGAGCAGCTCTGTATCTACACTCTTCTCCCTAAAGTGAACTAAATTACAAGTTTCTCTCCATGCTCATCCCTAACTGACTCCCATGCCCAGGGCTTCCAGTTCCCAGAGAAGATGTGGTCTCTTATTTTGAGCAAAAGGAAGCACCATGGATGCTGGAGCAAGAAGGCCTGAGGAGCTGCTGTCTAGGTGAGTAAGGTGAAAGCAAGTATATGAGACCTGTGATTACAAGAAGCTGCTATGTGTTATGGTGAAGCAAGTGCTAGATTTGGGGGCAGGAAGACCTGACTTGGAATTCTTTCTCAGATTTTTTTTTAGCGGTGGCTTCCTGGGTCATTCACTGAAAAATGGAGCCTCAGTTTCCCCATTTGTCAAATGAGGCGGTTAGACTCCATGGCCTTTCAGCTCCTTCTAGGGATAAATCTATCATCTTATAAGAAGTCATTATTTGGAATTTGGGGACCTGGAATCTTTTGAAAGTATCAAAAGGGGTTAGGTTCTCCAATACGAGCTCTTTCTTAGACCTTCAAGCCAACAAACATTTATTAAGTGCCTCCTGCATGCCAGACCCTTTGCTAAGCACCAGAGACATAAAGAGATACCAGGACATCCCCGGCTCTCTTGGAACTCACAGTTTGGTGGGACTGACAACACTCCAACAAGTATGCAGATACCCACTATGGACAGGATAAATTGGAGCAGGTCAAGAGAGGGAAGGCACTAAAGTTAAGAAGGATTGAAAATGATTTATTGTAAAAGAGGGGCTATAGCCAGGGCTTCAGGGAAGCCAGGGCAAGTGTTCTAGGCAAAAAGGGTATTGAGAAAAACCCAGGGAGTCAGGAGGTGGAGTGTCCTGTTCACAGAACAGAAAGGAGGCCCATACCATATAGCATATATGGGGGGAAGTAGGGTGAAAAAAAGACTGGAAAAGCAGGAGAAGGGGAGGTGATGAAGGGCTCTAGCAGCCTGAGGGAGGATTTTATATTGGATCCTTTGCTGGGGAGCCAGAGGAGGTTGTTGAGTGGGTGGTGACATGGTCAGGTGAGAGTTTTAGGACAATGACCTTGACAACTGGGTTGAGGATTGCCTGACTGGGGGGAGAGAGGCAGCCAGATCAACCAGCGGGCACTGAAATATCTGAGGTGTGAGGTGATTAGGGCCTGAATCAAGAAAGTGTCAATGGTGGAAGAGATGTCACACAAGTGGAATCACAGGACTTTGTTCCATATTGAATATGGGGTCAGGAGTGTGAGTGTGTAAGAGTTGATGAGAAGTGCATGATACTTCATCTCTGAGCCTGGATTATTGGAGGATGCCTGCCATAGCATTGGGAAAGTAGGAAGATTTGAGGGTTGGGGCAAAAAGAATGAGTTTCACTTTGGATATGGTAGAAGGAGAACCAGGAGAGAGTTGTGTCACTAAAGCTTAGAGAGAAGAGTATCAAGAAAAAGGGGTGATTGACAGTGTCAAAGCCTGCAGACAAGTCAAGAAGAATGAGGTTAAAGAAATGACAATTTGAAGATTATTGGTAATTCTGGAGAAAGAAGGGTCAGTTGAACAATGAAGGTGGGAGCCAGACTACAGAGAGTTTCAAAAAAAGCAAGGGAAAGGAGTTGGAGACACCAGTTGTAAATGGTCATCTCTAGCTGTTTGTCATGTGTGTCATGTACACATATGTATACATGTGTGTATGTATATGTGCACACATATATGAGTATGTGTGTCCGTGTGTGTATCTGTGTGTGTGTGTGTGTGTTTGATGTTTCTCTGATCTCTGACATTCCACCCACTTTGGATGCAAATATCATTGGCTCAGATTCTATCGTTTCTCTATAATAATAATCTGGCTAAATAGGGAAATTCTTAGTTAAATAAACAATTTCTTTACTATTTGAATTATTATTGATATTTAAATAAGCCAGATAAAGTGTATATACCAAGAAACCTGACCCACACATATAAAACATACACACACATGAATGCAGGGCCATCATTGATAACCTAAAATTTGGGGGCTGAAAACTACTAAATGTTATCCTATATGTAGTAAGATAGAGCCGAGGCTCTCCAGAATGTCCGGTATCATGACTGTTGAAAGGCAAAAGTCATTCTGTTATATAGTTGTCAGTTACCTCTCAGGATTTCATCCCAAATGTCCCTTTATTTTGGGGCCTGACTTCAAGAATTTTCCTCAAACATTTTTGATTTGTTTTTTAGGTTGTATTAGTGGTATGGTACACAACATGCTTCTGACACAGGGAAATTACTTTTGTGTTACTTTCAAATCCCTTTACCTCTCTAGGCCTCCATTTTTTCCTCATTTGTTCCTCATTTGTGAAAAAACAAAAGAGAACATGCACATTTAAATGGTCTGTTCAATTCCTTCGCACTTTGGATGTAATCTTATGGGTCTGCTTCTAGTGATTCTGCATAATAATGCTGGCTCTCTCTATACAAAAATAAAATATATAAACTATATAATAGTTTAAATATATGAATATAGTTACTGTATTTGTATATATAGGAATATAATTGTTAAGCTATATTTTGATAATAAATATAGAAGTTTATGTTAAGTATTATATCAAATCACACATACCCTACACACATATATAAATGATTTCATCATATAATATCATTTGATAAACATCATATAATATCATTTGATAAACATTTGATAAAAATCTTTTGGGGTTGGAAGTTGCTAAATGTTATCATAGTAAGTCTGAGTGAGGTTTCTAGAATGTCCTGGATCTTGACTGTGGAAAGGTAAAGAGTCTGTTGTGTCCTCTAGTTGCCATGGTTACCTCCCAGGATTTTAATCCCAAGTGGCCCTTTATTTTGAGGCTGGACTTTAAGAATGTCCCTCAAAGAGTTGATTTGTTTTTTAGATGCTATTATTTGTATGTAACAAGACAGTCTGCTTCTGACACAGGTAAATTACCCGTGTGGGCCCTTCAAATCACTGTTACCTCCCTGGGCCCCCATTTCCTCATTTGTAAAAACAAACAAACAAAAAACAAAAACACACAAAAAAAACATAATCATGTTTAAATGATGAGACCTGTGAAACTCCTCATTTTGGACATAGCTTCTAACACTGCCACAATAAAATTTATAAGGCATATTAAATAAGAATTCTTTCTGAAATAGTAATTTTTAAATAATTGCATTATTGATATTAAAAGAAGACACAAGGGATCTGCTTTATTTCCTTTATTTCATCATATTTGTACTGTAGGATGATGAGCATTACAATGTATTATCTTGATGTCCTGAAGAATGCTGAATTTCTTTTTTGAACCTGATTTTCAGGCACAGTCCTGTGCCCCGATAATTCTGGAA